GTTAAGATAGTAAGGAAGATTTAACCAGTTGAGTTAGGTAAATTAGGCAAGTATCGTGAAAAAAATTTATTTTCCTCAAAAACTATCTCTTTATATACGAGTTCGGGAGTTGAGCTTTAACACTTATTTGATTTTTTTCTATATAATTTTAGGCTCAGATATAACAGACCTCAGATATTTCAGGAGTAGGCAAAGCAGTTTATATAATAAATCTAAAACCAATGGAAGCATAAGTAAGCTAAGTTTCTAGTAGGGAAAATATAGTCTCACTTTTCGCAGAATTTGTTTGTAAATAAGATTAGCAAACGTATAAGAAATCCAAATTTATAATGTATAACGAAAAATTTAAATGTAAATCTCACTATCGGTAGCAAATATTTAGTTTGAAGGGATGTCACACTAGATTAAGATTGTGGGCATGTAAATTTGAAAGTAAATACAGCCATTGACACCATTGCAAATTTCCTGTGTCATTTACCTTTATTTATTCAAAAGGAAACATTAAAAAGATTTTGCGTGTCTGCAGTTAATGTTTGTCATCCTCAAATCATTCAGCTCATTGCTAACTAAAATTAAGAGACATGAAGCTGGATAAATCAGCAAAACAAACTCAATAATGATTACGTTTTTATTTCTGAGTTAAACTAATGCATTTACCATTTCGATAGGCTGTCACTACAGCTAAGCTTTAACTTACAAGAGTAGCCAGGGGTTACCAAAGTAAATAATAATGAATAAAGAATTTTCAGATCTATATTGTATTGCTACATGAACAGACTTAATTTTAATTGAAGGTATGAAGACCAATATGGTGTGGCCTTTAGTTTGGTCGTAGTCCATGACCATCTTGCGAAAACAAGGTCAAACAACCTCTAGACCTTATTTTAACCAAATTTACCGAACATGCTTTAGCAAAATGTCAGCAATTTTGAAGAGGGTCGGTATGCTTTTAATTAAATATTACAATTTAAGGCATTATATTATATTTGACTAGATATGGGGACATCGCTCACTAGCGACATCTAAGAAATACGAATCAAGAGGTAAGTTTTTTCTATAATTTATTTAAAGACCCATTACAGTTTTTAAGATAAGATGTGCATAATTATTAATCTTTTTTACACAGTTATATATTTTTTTAAATAAACTGTATAAGTTTACATAGCCAGGATAATTTAGGAAAATTTCTAGCTCTGATGCAAATTATTTATAGGAGATTCTACATTACTTAATTCGAGAAAGAGCTCTACTGCCAAGCATTGAAATCTCTCCCAATATTTATAGAAAAATATAAAAGTTATTAAAGTTTTGATGATATCAAAAGTAGTGTGATCTATCTATATCCTGAAAATCATTTTAAACCAGTAATCTAGACTTATAACTAGAAATGGAATTTATTTAATTTATAAAATAATGGAAAGACGAATAAAATATATAAACGAATAAGTTTCTTTGTAATTCCGTCATACATTCTAGTAACGTTATATGCAAAAACTACAGATATTGTAGAGTCCTTACAAGTGAATAAGTGTCAATTTATAATCTGAATATTTTTACGAAATTATACTTCTACATACGTTGATTTGCATAAAGCTTATGTTTAAACGAATTAAGCTGGTGGCATTAAATCTGTGATAATCTAAAAATAGCGATTAAACTATGTAGAGATCTTTTATTAAATATGGCTATAATAAAACTCAAAATGAAACATAATATTTATAAGTATTCTAAATGCGTTTTGGTTAGGCCCTAAGGTTATTTCCGGTTAGATAAATAATTCAAATATTGTATATTATTCTAAATAATTTTATGCCAATTAAGATTGCCTTCCTGTATCTTACCGGCCTACGCTTCCGGAATGCATTATTTAAAAATTCTCAATTACCCTTATAGGTATCTTATTATGCTGATTTAAGACTAAAATTAATTTTAAAACGGTTTTTCCACATGACACAAATAAAATTGTCAATTTACAACTGATGCCATTTATAGCATAAAAAATTAAACATTTTACTAAACTTATAAGTTACTCCATACCTGTTACTCGAGCATAAATCAAAGCAATAAATAAAAGAATTTGTTAACTATATACATTATAGAACAGGTAGTACGTTATTAAGGAGTTACTGTATTTTATATATGTTTTTATAGAAAGTAATTAAACAAAATGGAGTCATGTATTTAGTATGTTATTGATCGTTGAATGGAAGCACGTTATTAGTAAATACTCAGATAATATTGGCTTTTGCGAGGTGAATACATTGCACAAGAGTGGTGAACGGTTTAGTCTTTATCAATATTCTTATTTATGCTAGAGTAACAAGAAAAGGTAGTTCTTATGACTTATTTAAACCCATAAAAAGGTATGAACTTAACGACTACAAAAATGAAATGATACCATATTCATTCATTTTGAAAACATTGAATTGAAAAAAAAATTATAAAATAAAACTTGCTAAAAAGTAACACAGAGGTCCCTATATAAATAAATTCAAATTTATCTACGTTTACGTATGCAAGTGCTTATCATATGAGCTATGTTGTTTTTGCCGCTCGAAACTATGAATAAAATCATCCGACAAAAATTAATTGCTTGGACCCGAACTGCCCTCAACAAGGGCCGGCAAAATTATAAATGATATAAACGTTTAAAAGCAAAGTTTGTATTGAAATAAAGTAGGCTAATTCCCAATTCTCAAGGTAAACTGTATTCTAGATAATTCTTCCTCCATATCAACCGCATAGTAGATTTTGCAACAAGTGATTAACAATATGTATTATTATTTAAAAATGGTGTCACATTTTATGAAACGCGTATTTAATTTTGGTCGCTAGATAACAATAATGCTTAACTTATGGTTTGGAAAATTATCATTAAAGATGCTTTTTGCTCTCCTATAATCGTGAAGTATTTAGCTAGGCCTTTCTATCTAGTGTAAAATAAGAGACTTACCCTGCCAAAATCCGCAAAGTAGGCCTCAAGTTCTTCCGCTGTCGTTGCTGTAGCCACTCCGCCTATGAACACTTTTTTAGTTCGAGCCAGTGCCTGGGCCGCCAACATAGTTGCCGACCAATGATCGAGAGTATGACCCGAATAGCCCGAGGTAGCCGTGGATGGGTTTGTACATGTAGTTGTAGTTGATGCAGTAGTGGTAGAAGAATATGCCATAGATAGCTTGGATTTATTGGTAGGGGAGTTGAGTCCAACAAGTGATAAACATGGAGCCGACGGGCATACAGCAATCCTTCCGGCCCCACACATATGGTCACCGTCAGGATCAGGGAGCAGAGCGCAGGCGACGGAGTTTACCGACATTTCAACAATAGATGCCAGTCCAAGGTTTGCGTAGATCCGAGTTAGTGGAGTTAAGTTTGGAGACAAAATATGAGCACGGCAGCCACCAGTCTCACCACCAAGGTCGATATGATTGAGTTGAATCGAGCAGGAGTTGGGAGTGCCCAGGATGAATGTTTGAGAGGAGAGTTTTAGGTGGCCAGCAGTATCAGAGTTGTCAAGCAGGCAAGTGGATGAAGACATTCCAGTCCGGGG